AAAGAGAAAAAAAAAGTTAAAATTGAAAAAAAATGTAAATATTTTCTTATTAATTTTTATATAACAATATGCTTTAAATAATAAACCTTTACATGCTATCCTAAGTATTGTTTTTTAACTTTTTTTTTTTTTTACAAAAAAAATAGCAAAAATGGCAGCTTTATTTTACATTGTTGCAAATCTCCTTCACATCTGAGAAGACAGCTAAAGGCTCATTATCCTATCTGTAGTGAGCACGTCACCACGTCACACATCTCAGGGCATCAGGAAAACTGCACCGATGCTTGTGAATGAGCCTGGAGAAGGCAAATAACGTAACGGTGCAATGGGGAAAACAGTTCTCACTTCTGGAACCCTCTAAAGAACCCCTGGGCCCCACTTTGAGAACCGCTGCACTAAACCAGGGCTTATCTGAGACAAGCCAACTGCTGGGTCAGCGCAGCACCTGGCCAGGCCGGGCACCCACAGCCTTCTAGTGAAAGATGACAGCTCACAGACCAAGTGGGGTAGCCCCAGCTCAGCCCCTAGAGCTCTGTGCAAAGCCACTCCGCTCCAGACTCTGACCCAGGCTCTTCCTAAGGCAGGGAGCTCCGCATGGCCTGACCCAGCTGGAAGTAGCTGGTGGCCAGGGGCTGTCTTGTCCCCTTTCAGAGCGCTTGTCCTTGAAACTACCAAAAGTGTCTTCCTTGAAGACCAAGCGCCACTAGGCTCCCCATCCCAGGATTCAGGGCAGGGCTCGACCCCCAGACCAGGGCAGCCCAGGGCCTCTAGCCGGTGGATGGGGAAGAAGAGAGTGGTAGGAAATCTCTCCTGAGCGCAAGGAAAGCCGCCTCAGGGTCCAGAATCTGTACTCTGTGGTTCTTTTATCCTCGCTGTGCTCCTTCTGGCACTGTGTCCCAGGAATGGAGTTGAACCCAGGACTTTTACACTGAGCTACATCCCCAGCCCTTTTTCTATTTTTTATTCTGAGACAGAGTCTACTAAGTTGCTAAGTCGCCTGGCCTGGGCTTGAAATTTCAATCCTCCTGCATCAGCCTCCCAGAGTATTAGGATAACAGACATGCATCCCTATGCTCAGCTCTAGGTTCAACTCTTATATGTATTTTATTGGTTGTGTGACCTTGGGAGAGTAAGTTAGCCTCTCAGAGCCTTAGCACTATCATTTGTAAAATGGTTATGAAAGCAGAGAACTGCATGAAAAGACCTCTTGCCCAGGCCCTAAAACCTAACACACATTCTACAAATAATAGTGAAAGGTCTTCTGCTGCCTCCATACCCTCTTCCTGCCTGACTCTCAGCCTGAGCATGGCCAACTCGAAACAGATTAGCAATCCCTTTTCTAAAGACAGCAGAGCCAGGCTGGGATTTTCCGCAAGGACGTCAGTCCCGGAGAAAGAGGCACAGGGTGAGCTCATCTGCAGTGTCAGCTTCCTACCCTGTAACAGCAGACAGCAGGGACAGCCAGGCTCCTCACCCACTCTGTCCAAGGTCTTGGGCAGCTTCTCCTCTCTGTCCTTTCTCCTGCAGGCCTAGAGGTCCTAGGGATGGGTGGCAAACCCCTCCGTCTCACACCATGCTCCTTCTCTAATGGCTTCTTCCTTTTTCCACATCACACAGGTCACACAGGCTTGGCTAATGCCCTCTTTACCCAGATGAGGCGGACTGGTGGGCAGCTGGCGTTGTCCAAGGCCCATAAGACACACAGACCTTAGAGCGGCCAACCCCATGCACCAAGCTTCTCTTTCTCAGACCACCTCAGGCTCCTGACACCTGCAAGGCAACCCCATGCTCTCCTCCCTCCCAGCACCTCCAGGAGCTCACTCAGTACCTTGGGTGAGAAGAAAGGGGTGACCCGCTCCCCGTCACATCCCCACAGGCACCTGGCTTCCTCTGCTGGGTGTTCCTAGCCACTGCCTGTGCCTTTAAGAACTGCCACCCAGTGCCAGAATCTTAACCTCAGCACCCTCAGCTGAGTTGGATTAAGGGACCATTTCGTGCCTTTCTGAATTCTTTCTGGCTGCTGTCCCTCCCTCCACACGGAGACAGAGAAGCCAGGAGCCCCAACAGGTCTGCAGAGGGTAGCCCTTTTCCTGGGGAGTAGGTCCTTTGACAAGGCCTTGTGGCCAGGGAGTGGGCCCGTGGGGGTCTTGGGCTGTCACTGGGACTCCACAGAGCCATGCAGAACCCTGGGCCATGACGGACTACTCAGATGTGATCATCGGCACAGAGGCGACAGAACTGAGCAAGGTAAGGGCCACACAGAACCACTGTCCCAAGACCCAGTGTCCCCTGTGGACACCCCTGCCCTCAGCTTTCAACCTCCTGCCTCCCAGACTGAGTTCTGCAATCCTGCTTTCGAGCCCGAAGCAGCACCGCCTTGTCCTCCTTCGGCCTTCCTGCAAGATGCCAGCTGCAGCGCCCGAGCTCCCTGGCACGGTAACTCTCCCAGGGGTGCCCTGCCCATGGGACAGGGGCGCGGGAACTGAGGACAGTGTGAGGGATGCCCAAGGGAAGGGGCTCTCCAAACCCCACCCCACCTCCCCGCAGGTCAGCGTCACCGAAGGATGCGGCCAGACTGCCACTTCTCTTGGCTCTGTGTCTTCCTGCTCTTCCTCCTGCTGCTCCTGCTGCTCGGGCTGCTGGTGGCTGTCATCCTGGCCCGTAAGTACCTGAGGGCTGCTGGGCAGGAGAACCTTAGACTAACACTCCATGAGCCACTCTCCCCATGCCCGAGGAGCCAGCACCTCTGAATGCTGCTTCTCTGTCCACCTGCCCCCCAGAGTTGCAGGCTGCACCCCCATCTGGAGCCACGGAGAGCCTTCGGTCCACCGCCAGAGCCACCCCTACCAGCACCACCACCTCCCCGGCAATTGCAGAGCAGCAGGAGGCAGGCATGAGTCCCCCACACCAGGCCTGTGAGTACCAAGGACACCTCTTTCGGAGAAGTCCTAAGATAGCGGCCATGGGGAAGGAGGTCAGACAGAGGCACAGTGGAGGAGAAAAGGACATCTCTCCTTTTCACCTCTGAACTCTCACCCCTGTCTCTGCAGCCTGTGGGGGCCTCCTTCCTGGTCCAAGAGGCTTCTTCAGCAGCCCCAACTACCCAGACCCTTATCCGCCCAACACCCACTGTGTGTGGCATATCCAGGTGGCCACAGACCACACAGTACAGCTCAAGATCGAAGCTCTCAGCATGGAAAGTGTGGCCTCCTGTCTTTTCGATCGCTTGGAAATCTCCCCAGAGCCAGACGGCCCCCTCCTTAGGTGGGTCCTTCTACCCCGAGGAGATCTCCCACACTATCAGAAGGACAGAACCAGGAAGTTGCAGCAGAAAGCTGGACTGGGCCCCCACTCTGCCACCACCTCTCTGTATGGCCTAGGGAAGTACACGCCTCCTCTCTGACCTCGGTTTTCTCATCTGTAAAATAGAACTCCTGCCCATCCTTCCTGTCAACAAGTGCTGTAGGGCTAGATGTGCAGCGGCTGGCAAGGTCAGCACTCCCAAGAGAATTAAAGCAGCCTTTCTGACCATACTGACACTACTCCAGGGGTTGAGGAAACAGTCACAGGGCCCAGGCAAGCTCGCCTCGGCTGGCCCTGAGCTCAGGCCCTGCCTCATCACTCCCAACACGGCTTCTTGCAGGGTCTGCGGGAAGGTGCCTCCTCCCACGCTCAACACCAACACGAGCTGCCTCCGGGTGACCTTTGTCTCTGACAGCAGTGTAGAAGAGTCTGGTTTCCAAGCCTGGTACCAGGCTGTAGCCCCCGGGCATGGTAAGTGACTGCCCACCATCTCCCCAGCTGCCTGCGTCCTGTTCACTTCCTTCTGCTCCAGCCACTCCTAGCACTGACAAAAAGAGTGGAGACTGGGAGATTTCTGACCCAAATGCCCGCCCCCAGAGAGCTGTGCCCAGGATGAGTTCCCCTGTGACCAGCTCATCTGTCTGCTGCCTGAATCAGTGTGTGATGGTTTTGCCAACTGTGCGGATGGCAGTGACGAGGCCAACTGCAGTGCTCCGCTCTCCGGTATGGGCCCCCCCAGGTGTAGGGAGAGTACCATCTTCGGGCATTGGATCCAGGTTCCGGCTGGGCTCCCAGCTCAGGTCCAGCCCCAAATCTCAGAGTTCCCACCAGTGTTCCCCGCCTGGTCATTCTTTTGACCCAGAACTTGTTTACCCATAGGCCTGGCCAAAACTCCTACCACCAGCCCCAAGTGGAGGCAGAGATCCTGGCTATTCATGAACTCTTCTATTTCTCTACAGGGTGTGGGGGGAACCTGACTGGGCTCCATGGCACCTTTTCTACTCCTAACCACCTGCAGCAGTACCCTCAGCAGCAGGTAAGTGCAGTATCTCGGGGGACTCGGAGGGCACATGGAGATATCTCAGCACCCAGGCTAGCATGACAAGAACAGCATAGTACATACTGCCTTGTACTTGGGGAGGTGAGCGATCAAGCAGCCTAGCAGGGAACATTATTAAGTACCTACTGTGTACCCCGTTACCCATGCTGGGTAACATCCATCTCTGAGACCAGAACTTCAAAAGCCCTTCCTACCTTAACAGCGCCCGTGATGGAGTTAGGTGAGCACTGGCCAGCAGGAGCCCCAGCTTGGGGCAGGAGAAGGACCCCACGGGACTATTGCCTCTCTGCCTTCCTCCAGCTTTGCACCTGGCATATCTCAGTGCCTGCGGGACACGGTGTAGAACTACAGTTCCTCAACTTCAGCCTGGATGCACAGGATGAGTGCAAGTTTAACTACGTGGAGGTGTATGAGGCCAGCAGCTCTGGAGCCCTCAGCCTCCTGGGCAGGTACGGAGCCAAGGGAGTGGCTGAGGCTGATGGCCCCCTCTCCAGGAGGCCCTTCTGTAGCCCTCTCCCCTTCCAATCTGCCACCGTGTGGCACCTTCCCCGCAAAGCCACCCTGATCATCCCCATCTCAACCGGCTCAAGTGCTAACAGATTAACATTTTGTCTACTGAATATGCGGGTCCTTCTCACCAGAGCCTAAGTTCCATAAGCCAGTGACTATGACTCCCATCACCCTTGGATGGCCAGGCACCCAACCCAGAGCTCCCGCAGTTGGCCAGGGGGCCCACGCCCAGGACAACTCTCTGCTCTGGGCAGGTTCTGTGGAGCAGAGCCACCCTCCCACCTCACCTCCTCACATCAGGAACTGGCTGTGCTCTTCAGGACGGAAGATGGCGTCAGCGGCGGGGGCTTCTCAGCCAGCTACCGGGCCTTGAATGCCACAGAGAGTAGGTGCTCCTGGGTGAGTGGGTGTGGGCAGCAGAGGAACAGAGATGGGCTCTGGGCTTGGTCCACGCACATGGAGGGCAGTGGGGAAGAGGCATGTCCCCGGGTGCTGCCATGCCCCTGTGCCTGCAGACCCCTGTGGGCCCAGAGAGCTCTTCTGCCAGGACGGAGGGTGTAGGGATCTGCAGGGGATATGTGACTGGTGGAGAGACTGTGCAGACGGCAGCAAGAACAACTGCAGCAGCTTCTTGTTTCCACCCCCAGGTAAGAAGCCTGCCCCTGGCACCCTGAACAAGGCCCACAGCCCCGGGCTCACTGATGCCCAACTCACAGAAACCCTGCCGGGCACACTGCCCAACATCCTCCAGCTCCTCCCTGATGCAGTGGGGAGCCGGCTGGGCCTCACACTTCTGACTCTGGGGCCACTTCACAGAGTCCTAGAGGGGCTTTCAGCCGAGGGGCAGGGATACTTAGTCACCTCAGAGTGACACAGGACTCTGGGAAGCAGTGGCTGGGGCTTCAAGGTGGGACTCAGCCACCTTGTTACACACAGGGTCTCCCTCCACAGCCCATTTCAGAGATGAAGGTGAGATTTTTACCTGAAAAAAGGGAAGTTTCTTCCAGAACTTTCCCTTCACGTGTTCCCTTACATCAAAGAGGTGCTACATGACACCCAGGGCTGGTAAATGATGCTTGGAGCCAGCGGTGGGGACAGCAGGGGTCCTCCACGGATGCTGCATCTCTCCCTGCTACCTCCTCGGGTGCTCACAACCACCCTAGTCTGACCCAGGTGGCAGCAAGAGCTCAGAGCACTGAAGCGGCCCGTCCCCACCGTGATCCTCCTCTCCCACCCCTGCAGTGCTGGCCTGTGAACCCATCCAGGTGGAGATGTGCACGGGGCTGAGCTACAACACCACAGCCTTCCCGAACATCTGGGTGGGCATAACCACCCAGGAGGAAGTGATTGATCTCCTCAGAGGCTACAAGGTGCTCCGGCAGAGGCAGAGACCAGGAGGGAGGCCACAGAAAAGGGCGGGAGTCTGAGGAACAGGTAGCTGAGGCCAACCTCTTCCTCCTACAGAGCCTGGCCAGTCTTCCCTGCTACCAGAATTTCCGGAGGCTCCTCTGCGGGCTGCTTGTGCCTCGCTGCACCCCACTAGGCAGCATCCTCCCCCCTTGCAAGGCCGTCTGCCAGGAGGCAGAGCGTCAGTGTCGGTCTGGCCTGGCCCTACTGGGCACCCCTTGGCCCTTCAACTGCAACAGGCTGCCTGAGGCAGCTGGCCTGGAAGCATGTGCCCAGCCCTGACCCAGAAGCCGGCCCCTGTCCTCTGCCTGCCCAGCCTCCTTTTGCCTGTGTGGGCAGGCGGGGAGGGAGCAAAGGAAGAGGGACCTTTGCCGGGGACTCCACATCTCCTCTGGGACTTCCCAGGGAGAAAGAGGAGGAGCCCCCCAACCCCAGCTTAATGGAACACTCCCACCCTCACTCTCCTTCCTTGCCCCTTTGTTTGCCAGAGGGCCCACAGGGGCACCATCCACCGTCTCTGACCCCGACTTCCCCTCTCACACCTTGCCCTCTTCCGGCTGCCTTTTCAATTCTACCACCTGCCCCTCGGCTTTCTCACTTAGTTAACACACTGCAGTGAGCGCCTCCCGCTGTGCCGATCGCCTGGGGTCCAGCTGGTTCTCTGCTGGTCCAGTCGTCCCTGGCCTCTGTCCCGGCACCATCTCCCCCTCCTGCCTCTGGGAACAGGAGGAGCCCCGAGTGTCTCCCACGGTTCAGCCTCTCTGTGCCCAGCTCAAGCCTTCCTCCCCCTTTTTTCTCCCCCCAAATATTGGCCGCCCGCCAGGCGACACCACGAGTTATTTCCCTGCTATTTCCCGGCCCAGAGCCCTGAACACTGGTTTCCTTTGGAGTCTGGGAGGAGTGGAGCAGGCAGGGAGCGAACCAGGGCAGCACCAGGGGACGAGAGGGTAGCGGGGTGCTAGGCTGGGGAGAAGCGCCGGGGCGGGGGCAGGGCCAGCTGGAAGGTCCGGACAGGGCAGCGCCCCAAAGGAGGCCATCGAGAGCACAAGCAGCCGGGGAGCCGGGAGCAGGGAGGGGTGAGTCTGGCGGAGGGCGGAGGGTGGGGGAGGGGCCGTGGGACGACTGAGCACCGGCTGGGGTGGGCAGGGCTGCAGGGCCGGCTTCTCCTTTCCTTCTTGCCCCTGCCCCCGAGCTCAGGGGTCTGTGGCGTCTGCGGCTTCGCCCGCTCGTGCTGCCGCTCGGCCTCGGGAGCGTGGCAGGGGTGGGAACCCGCGGGGCGTGCCCCGGGATTCTGGGTCCCGACTCCGGTCCTTCCCGGCTCACAGACTACGAGAGGACGCTGGCATTCGGGCTCCGGGAGCCCGCATCATGAGGCCGCTCTTCGCCCTGCTGCTTCTGGGCCTGGCATCCGGCTCGGCCCCACTGGATGACAACAAGATCCCCAGCCTGTGCCCGGGGCATCCCGGCCTTCCAGGCACACCAGGCCACCACGGCAGCCAGGGCCTGCCGGGACGCGATGGCCGCGACGGCCGCGACGGCGCGCCTGGTGCTCCAGGCGAGAAGGGCGAGGGCGGGAGCCCAGGTAAGAAGGCACCTTGGACGCAGTCCTGGAATCCCGGGTCCTGCTCTTCGGGCTCTCGGGTGGCCTCCTGGTCTGCAGGGATCGGGGCTCCCGCCAGGGGGCGCTGCGCCCCCGCCACCCGAGATGTACAGGCGGGATGCGGGGACTCAGCCCGCGCTCCGGGGACCCTCTTTGCGCAGCGCCTCAGACCTGCCCAAGCCCTGCAGGAAGCGGGGACAAAGTACCCGGGTGGAGGGAGGCGCTTAGCTGGGGAGCTGTCGGCTGGGGCGGGGGGCTTAGAGACGGGTGGAAGGGGGCCCTTGAAGGCGGCCTCGTGCACCCCGCTGTGCGGTGGCCCGGCGGTTCTCTGCACCCTGACAGCACCGCTCCCTGCAGGACTGCCGGGGCCGCGCGGGGAGCCCGGGCCGCGAGGAGAGGCGGGCCCCGTGGGGGCGGCCGGGCCTGCCGGGGAGTGCTCGGTGCCGCCGCGCTCCGCCTTCAGCGCCAAGCGCTCCGAGAGCCGGGTGCCACCGCCGACCGACAGGCCCCTGCCCTTCGACCGCGTGCTGGTGAACGAGCAGGGACATTACGACGCCGCCACCGGCAAGTTCACCTGCCAGGTGCCCGGGCTCTACTACTTCGCCGTCCACGCCACGGTCTACCGGGCCAGCCTGCAGTTCGATCTGGTCAAGAACGGCGAATCCATCGCCTCTTTCTTCCAGTTTTTCGGGGGGTGGCCAAAGCCAGCCTCACTCTCAGGAGGCACCATGGTGAGACTGGAGCCCGAGGACCAGGTGTGGGTGCAAGTGGGCGTGGGTGATTACATTGGCATCTATGCGAGCGTCAAGACAGACAGCACCTTCTCTGGGTTTCTTGTCTACTCCGACTGGCACAGCTCTCCCGTCTTCGCTTAGCGCTCCGGCTCCTAGCACAGGGCCCAACACGGACCCCACATCCGGGAGGGCTGGCCCCCCTGGAATATTGTGAGGGACTGGGGAAGGGCAGTAGGGGGTCCCTCGGTCCCGCAAGCAGCATGGGGCTGTATTTCTGCCCAAGACAGGAGCCTGCTGTGCTGGCCAGTGTGGGTACCCGGCCACTCAGGTCCAGGACTCCCAGGGGGTGCTCTCCCCCGGGTCCTCCCCTTCCTCTTCCACCCTTCCTGCTCCCAGGGCCGGCCCTTCACTCAGAGATCACTCAATAAATCTAAAAAACCCTGCTCCTGGCTTCAGTCTTTCATTAGTGATGGGGGCGCCCTGCTTCTGAGGGTCACGGCAGGGATACAGAAGCAGAAGGCAGGATGGAGCCATGGGGCGGAAGATACAGGAATCGGGCTCAGGGGAGTGAGAGGCTGCTCTACAGAGCGTCACCTCCTGCGTAGGCTGTGACCAAGAGTGCCTGACTGGCGGGGGGTGCCCTCCTGGTGAGGGTCTCTGGCCACCCCGAAAAAGGGGCACATTTCTAACTCAAAGACGCCACATCTGGTGGAGGCGGTCTTCACTACCCATACCCCTGCCCTGACGCAACAAGAAAGAACCTGGGACTTTCATTCACGGCTGCTCTGGCTGCTTGCCCGGTCCCACACCAGCTCCAGGTGAGAGGGCCCCCCTGGTTGTACTGAGCAGTTTCCGAGATGGCCACCAGGGGGCCCGCGAAGCTCCAGACTGCAGCAATGACCCGGTAGTTAAACTTGGGATGCCTGGGGTGGTTAGAGGGAGAAAGGGTATTAAATTCTACCGAAGGAATTCCAGATGGGGGTGGAAGGAAACAGGGTCCTTCGCTCCTAGCTCAGGAAGTTTATCTAACCTCATAAAATGTTTATGTCCACATTAAACAGAGACTGGAAGGAGCTAAGCCTCCCCTTGCTCAGCTCCCTGTCCGGGGTTGGGGGAAGGAAAGAGAAAGTGCTGCCCTGCCCCCACCATGCGGGCCACAGCCTGGGTGGGCTGAGCCACAAAGCTCCTTGGAGGCTCACCTCTTGTGCCAACTCCAGAGCCCAGCCCGGCCCTCCACCCAACCTAATCACCGGAAGCTAGGGTTTCGCATCTGTCTGCTCCGCCTCTCAACCCAAGTGGAGGGGCCCCTCCTGAGTTCTTCAGTACTCATCCTTCTCCTCCCCAGTTCCCAGGGACAGTCTCAGGCACTGTCCCCCTAGATGCAACATACAATTATGGGGAGGCACCCCTCCCCTTGCTGGTCATGTGAGGGCAGCTTTGATCAATGGGGACTGGGCCCCAAGTGCGCCAGACAGGCCTCAGGCCTTCTGGGCGCCGGCTCCCTGCACCCCACCAGGCCCCTCAGCCATTCTCCAGCCCTTCACAGTGCCTGGCTTGGTGCCAAGAGACACAAAGACAAGCACCAGCTCCTCCAGGGATCAGAGGGTAGACGACTCCAGGCAGCCAGGCCCCAAGTGTCCTCCTGGGAAGGCGTACTCAGAGTTAAGAAATTCACATTCTGTTCCACAAGGACGTACTTCTGGGAAGAAAACACAAAACACAACACGGAAGACTTGGGGAAGGCTTTCCCAGAGCTGTGTGATCATCAGGACAAATCGGAGGGGATGAGAGGTAGCCCAGCCCCGCCTGGCAGCCTCCACCTTGGGCACAGCACCCCCGGAAGACCACACATCTACCATTAACTGCAGCAGATTCAAAGACCCTGCTGCCACGTCTGTAACGTGACCAACTGCCCACAGGGATGCACACACAGTCAGAGCTGTCAACCTAACTTTATTCATCAGAAACTGGGCAGACCCCTCAGAGAGCTGCATGGCCCTAGGCCCTGGCTTCTTCTACCTGGACCCTAGTGAGATATGCAGTCTGCCCTCCCCAATGCCAGGGAGAGACAAAGAAAAGGAATGCCACTGCCTTACGTGATGTGGGGAGTGCAAGGGGAATGAGAGGAAGTCTGGTTGCCTCTCCTAAGGCTCCCCATAGAGCTTGGGTGCCCCAGGATATATGGTCCCAAAGCCAGGTGGAGATGCACCCCACCACCACCACCACCAGGGGCAAACAACCAGATCCCAACTTTGTGATCCGATCAGGAGGGAGCCTCCTGAGATCATGACAGGAAGAAGTGGTGCTAAGGGCACCTGAGACAGTCTACCCTCATACCTAGTAGGCCCGAGAGGTTCTGGCTGAACACAAGTTTAAGATTATTCCAAGATCCTTGAGTTGCCCAAATACCCAGAGGACACTGATGTGTTGTGGCTGCAAAAGCTGGGGCAGTGGGCAGGCGTGGGAAGGAGGCAGAGAAAGAACCTACAAATCCCCCAACAGAAAAACTGGAAGCAGAGAGAGGCTGGCCCCAGACGCTGGCATCTGGGTGGGCCCTGGGTCGGCCAGAGCACAACCAAGTTTCAGGGCCCTTGCATAGTGACATACTCACCACCCTCAGCATCACAGGGACCCCCCAGGAACAGAGAACTATGTTATCCTGCCCCACCAGACTGGCCCATGTGCAACCAAGTTCCAGATGTATGGCTTGAGGCTTGGCAAGACAGCCACGAGACAGGAGGGGATTCAGGACAGAGGGGAGGTGCTGATGCTGTCCTAGCGCAGGTGCCTTTGTGGAGCATGGAAGGTGGCGGGCAGGGAGGGCATCTTCAGAGGTAGACATTGAGAGTCTGCAGGATGCCCCGGCGGCAGAGCGGGCAGTTGCGGTGGTAGACAGGGTGGCGCATGAGGATTTCGGTGCAGGCCTGACACAGGCACAGGTGTCGGCACGGCAGGAGCAGCACAGTCTTGCTCTGGTCCTGGCAGATGACACACTTCTTCCGCTCCTCTTGCTCCTTCAGCAACTTCCACGGGTCCTGCCCTGCTGTGGCCTCCTCCTCGTTCAGCCTCTCCCGGCCCCGAGCAGGTGTTGCTCTGATGATCCTGACCACATCCTCTGCTGCCTCGGACCTGGGCGCTCCTTCAGGAAGGGTGGCCTGTCCTGGGATCCTGGCTGAAAACACCCTCCTAGGGCCACCTTGGGGGGCCCCAGGTGCCCCACCTCGGTTGGGCCAGCTTGCCAGCTGTAGGCTGCGGCTCCAGACTCGGCGCCAGGCTTCCAATCCCAGTGCTACTTGAGACAGCCGAACGACATCCTCTCGGAGCCGGTGGTAGGACGGCCGGGCATGGAGCTGACTGAGCGCGCGGGTGGCCAGCCTTAGTGTGAGGTCGGGGTGGAACACGGTCACCGCCACTGCCAGCACACAAGCCAGCAAAGCCAGGCCAGTGAGATTGACAAGCACAAAGCTGGCCAGGAGGCGGGCAGCTGAGGCCAGCAGCTCCAGTGCTAGCTGGCAGGGGGTCCAGAGAAGGATGGCCATGGCCACAGCACTGCTGGAAATGTGGGCTAAGAAGGCAGCCACAATGTCTGTCACCCTCCAAAGAGGCCCCATCACCACATCCCACAGGGCCAGCACCAGGGAGAAGAGGTTCTGAGTGCCAATGAGGCAGATGTTGACCAGACTGTTGATCACATAGGCCACCAGGCTCATGGCAATGGCGCAGATGTCACAGGCCTGGCGGAGCAAAGCATGGCCGCAGGAGACCACATTGAGGACACCCCGGTGCAAGAGCTCCCGGCTGCGCAGAGCCCCGTGGGAGGCCAAGTGCCCCAGGAGTTTTAGGCTCTCCAGGCCGGAGTAGCAGCTATAGAGCAAGGTACACAAGGCCTGCAAGCCTCCAAAGGTGAACCTTACCACAGCTTCAACCAGGGCCAGCAGTGAAAGCACAACACCACGGCCCACGTGCAGAAGACTAGTGACCACTGTGTGCGGCAGGTTGTAGATGAAGGCCAGGAGCCAGGCCAGGGAAGCCAGGAGGGAGGACACCAGCAGGAAGTTGAGATCCAACACCAAGGTCAGCACGTCCAGCGCCAGGCCCACCCCGTTCACTACCAGGTACACAGCCTCCATGGTAAGGGGAGGGAGGGTAGTCCAAACACGAAGGCTGGCTCCTGAGCGCAGGGCGCTGCCAAGGTTGTCAGTACTGCAGGGAGTCAAGGGTTCATCCGGAAGGAGCGCGAACAGCCTCTAACCCGGGGGCACCAAGATCTACGAAGCAGTGGGCTGAAGCGGAGGCTCAGTAGAGGCCAGCGGGGCCGGGCGCCGCTCCAGGAGTACTGGATTTGAAAGCGGGCTGGCTGGGAGGGAAAAGGCTGAACATCTCTAACGTGAAGGCGAGCCCGGGCTGGAGGAGGGAACTCAGCCTCGGAGGCCTGGCGTAGCGTGCCACGGCCAGGTAACGGGTCAGACCTGGAGAACGGGAAGCGGTGAGATGCGGTCCCGCCGGGGCCGGGGCCGGGGCCGGGTGGGGGCGGCGCAAGCTGGGCGAGGGCTCGCCGTCCAGCCGCGCAGGTGGCCCTGTCCCCGCCCGGCCCCCGTCCTCCTGCTAGCGGCGCTTCGCGCCCAAAGAGGGAGCAGGAAAGGGGATCATCTTCAGCAAACCCCAAACGCAGCCTCGACTCCTCTGGGCGCCGCCATCTTGTGTGCGAAGGGGTGGGACAAGAGGCGGGACAAGGTGGGAAGGTCTGACGACCTCTGGCCAATGGGTGAGGAGTAAATACAGGGACGTCGACCTCTCATTGGTCCATTTGAACGGCGCCCTAACAGATGTACTTCCAAAGGGAGGGACGAAAATTTATGAAAATCTCCGCCCCTTTGAGGCGGTGATTGGCCCGTTGACGGACAGGTTCGGAGTCTCCCACCTAGCTCCGCCCCCTAAAACAGAGCCAATCGTTGGACACCCCTACGTTTGGACGCCGTTCTATTTTCTGGGGTCCGGGGGTCGAGGTCAGCGCCTCTAGGCTGGGCCTGGGGATGGCATCGTCTGCGCAGCCGACTCAGACTGCCCCATCCTCCTTTCATTCATTTGTCTTATCATTTATTGTGCTCCTACAGGGCTTTGGGGGTACAGAAACCATTTACGACACCACCTCCCAAGCAGTTCACACGGTGAAGCAGAGTGTTACAAGGCTCCCAAACTGCCATCCCAAACTTTGCTTTTAGGTAGGAGGATTGCCAAGGTTGAGTACAGTTTTGGCAACTTAGTGACTTAGCGAGACCCTGTCCTAAAATAAAAATTAAAAAATAAACATGGCAGAGAATGTAGCTCAATGCGAAGGCCCTGGATTCAATAACCCTGTACTGCAGGAGGAAAAGAAATATTTTTTTTCAGAAGTGTTAAAGGGCCGGGCAGGGCAGCGCACGTCTGCAATCCCAGCACTTAGGAGGCTGAGGCGGGAGGATCTTTGTGAGTTCGAGACCAGCCTGGGCTACAGAGTGAGCTCAAGGCCAGCCTGAACTGCATAGCAAGACCCTGTCTCAAAAAGACAATAAAGAAATAAATAAAGTGTTACAAGCTGGGCACAGTGGTCTGCAGTTGCTATAACTATTCAGGAAGCTGAGGCAAGAGGATAGCTTGAACCGAGGAGTTTTGAGACCAACCATCACCTCCCAGTAGTTCCACACCGCCCTTCGGGATTTGTTCAAATCCCAACTCAAGCGAGAGCTTCCTAGCAAAGTTTTGCTGTGTTCTGCAGTGCTGGGGAATCAAACCCAGGGCCTTGTACACACTAGGCAAGCACTCTCACTGAGTCAAATACCCTATGAATTTTTTTGTGTAGTACAATAAGTCCTCAACTTACTTGAGACGAGAACTTTCACTGATCCAAACGGACCTTGCATTAGGAACATTCATAGATGTGACCAAATTGCAGGCGTAGCTCATGTAGACATTGTCACAGCGGTGCTGCTGTGTGCTTACTGTGCAGTACGGGGGCTCAGTCAGAGCCCAGGATGTCCCGAAATAAGAGGAAAGGCAGCGGTGATGTGGAGGGGACTGCTAGGACGCGCGAAGCAATATGCATTGTACATCCGTGTCAAAGGTGTTTGAAACTGTCGGACTCAGAAAGGAATCCAACTATCGAACGTTCAACCGGCATGGAATTCCTTCCTAAGTCGGGGGCTTACTGTAGGGGGTTTGAACCCAGGGTTTCATACATACTAGGCAGGCACTGTATCACACTGACCTACATCCCTGCTTCTGAAATTAATTTTTTAAAGATTCGAACGATTGCTGGGCATGATGGTGCACCCCTGTAATTCCAGGGGTCGGGAGGCTGAGGCAGGAGGATCCTTGCAAGTTCGAGGCCAACCTGGGTTACAAAGTGAGCTCAAGGCCAGCCTGAACTGCATAGTGAGACCCTGTCTCAAAAAGACAAAAAAAAAAAAAAAAAATTTTGAGCGGAGCATGATGGCACACACCCAGGACTTACGTAAGCCTGAGGCAAGAGGAGTTCTAGACCAGCCTCGGCTACCTAATGAGTTTAAGGCTAGCCTGTGTTATATAGTGAGACTCTGCCTCAAAAGAAAGAAAAAAATTACTCAAAAATCAACAAATGAGATTATGTCTTTTTTTTTTTTTTTTTTTTTTTTTTTGGAGACAGGGTCTCATTATGCAGTTCAGGCTGGCCTTGAGCTCACTTTGTAGCCCAGGCTGGCCTCAAACTTGCAATGATCCTCCTACCTCAGCCTCTCGACCCCTGGAATTACAGGCGTGCGCCTCCACGCTCAGGAACAAATGAGATTATGTCACATTAAAATCTTCTGCACAGCAAAGGAAACAACCAAGAGAGTGAAAAAAGACATCCTTACAGGATGGGAAAAAATCTTCACTGAATAGCGGATTAATATCTAGAATATATAAAGGACTCAAAAAATTAGCCTCCTACCCAAATAAAAGACCCAATAAAAAAAAACAGGCAACTGAAATGGATACTTCTGAGAAGAAAAAAGTATAAATGGGCAATAATTCTTTTTCTTTCTTTGGTACCTGGAATCGAACTGAGGACCCAAGCGCTTGTGCCACTGAGCTACGTTCCCAGTCCAATAATACTTTTATTAGCTGTGTAGGGCTCCTGTTTGTGGGATTGATGCAAGGGTTGTCTTTAGAGGCCTTGCTGGCACGTTCTGTCCCACCTCAAGTTGGACACAGGTAGGAGAAGAGGCTGCCAAAGAGAGGGGCTTGGTCACTATGAGTGACACAGGCAAGGGAAGGCCACGCCTGCGCAGGAGAGAGCCTCCCGGAAGGGACTGAGGTTTCTAGCCTCCATCATCCAGAGCAGACACAGGACCTAGGATGGAAATGGAATCTTGGAAAGTAAGGCCTTGGATTCTGTCCCTCTGGACCGGCTGGTGATTCTTTCCTTGTTTAAAACCATTTTCGCAGGGGCTGGGGATTTAGCTTAACGGCACAGCGCCTGCCTGGCAAGCGTGAGGTCGTGAGTTTGATTCCTGGTACCGGAAAAAAACAAATAAATAAAATTAAATAAATAAAACAAAACCATTTTCACATCCCCTAGTGCTATTAATAGATGGCGGTTTTCAGATCTTCCCTAATCAGTCCTCATTCCCCAGCTGACCTCCTCCTCCTGCAGGCTACTTTCCCACTGTTCACGGTGCCCAGCACAGCACGCCCACAGCCCCACAGCCCTTCACCTGGTCCCCACCATCCCTGGCTCGGCTCACACTTCTGGGAAGCCTCTGAACCCCCGGGCTGGGTGAAGTATCTGTCGCAGCTGCACATCTGCACCCTGGCACATTGTCTTCTAATTCTTTACAGTACTTCCCAGTCCCCACCACGACAGTGCATGTCTCCCTAACACTTGGGCGGCATCCTATCATCCCAACCCCCTCCCGTTTAGTTTACTTGACGACTGCGCTATATTCCAAAGCACAAGCGACATACAGTACACAGAGAAGGGAAACACTACAATGCCCTCTCCCTCCACCTCCAACCTTCTCCGCCTGTCACCTCTAGTTTTGCTGCAATGCTGTCGGGACTCAGCATGAAGTGGGATGACGCCCCAGCATCATCGATCCTGCAGACTTCACCCACCCACCAACTCGTGAAAAAAGGAACGATTCAAACTAGGAGCACCAGGGGGCGCTCTCGGGCCAAGAAGAAACGAAACCATGGTAAACCTAAATTCCAATTTCATCACATCATTTTGCCATTGCTCAAGAATCCGCAGTGGCTACCCATTGCCTAACCTATCTTAAGATCCAAACTATTACCCCCATAACCTAACCCGACCTCATCCACTCAAGTTCCCCACGCAGACACGTTCTACCTTGTTGAATTTCTAGTTAGCCATGGAGTGCGCCTTCTCGTTCTCCATCCACTAACAACTGTTCACATAAGGCCACGTCAAGGCTCGTTGGTGTAGCTGAAACTCTCCTCAAGCCTCCAAGTAAACATACAATGGAAATGAAAGCAGAGGGCCTGTTATGCAAATACAATTTCAAGACAAGTTTCATAGCCTCCCAGCCAACCCAGTCTTCTAGCCAGAGGGCTGATCCGGAACTTCTCTATGGAAGTTCTGCAGCTGTCACTGTATCTCTCCCTCTGCTTCCCTTCCTCCCTCGCTGCTTGTGTGGTTTCCCCTGCCTGGAATGACCATCCTTCACTCCTCCCTGCCCAAATCTGACTTTCACTAGAGCCTGCACAGTTCCCAGAAAGACTCCCGGCCAGTGCAAGCCCTGAGTCCCTGCTACATGTCCTGTTTATACCACAAGATTCAGCTCTTAATTCAACTATAATAATCACAGGTATAATGCACAGGTTTTGGAGTTAGATAACTATTCCTCCCAAGTTTAGTTCCTTGGACGATTTTAAAAATCTAGAAATACTCAGGCACAGTGACACAGGCTTCCAGGAAACAAAGGAAACAACCAATTGAGTGGAAAGCCAGGCTGCAGTGTGGAAGATCAGCCAGGAGTGCACATCCGTGATTACAGCACCCTGTCACTAATAGCTGATTACAGCTATGTCACTAAGTTTCCTTGGCTGGAATCCAACTTGTGTCCTCCTGCCTCAGCTCTAGAGCACTGGGATTACAGGTGGGCATGATCATATCCAGCTGCAGGACACTTTAGATCTAAACCACAGCAGTCTCTTTATAGTATGCTGCCTTTGGGTGTTTACCTAGGAGTGGTGTAGCTGGGTTATAAGGCACTTTTTCCTTAAGTTTTTTGAGCCTCCATACTGATTCTGTCATGCCTATACTAATTTACATTCTCACCAACAAAGTAGAAGAGTCCCCCACCCCACATCCTAGCTAGCAGTAGTTATTTTTTGTTCTTGATGATAATCTCGCATTTGCCAGGCAAGCGCTGCACTGCTGAGCTATATCCCCGGCCCTCCCATTGTAGTTTTGATTTTCATTTCCCTGATAGCTAATGAGGTTGAAATACAATTATTGGCCATTTGTACTCCTGTCTCGGCCTCCCAGGGTGCTGTAATCACGGATGTGCACTCCTGGCTGATCTTCCACACTGCAGCCTGGCTTTCCACTCAATTGGTTGTTTCCTTTGTTGTGCAGATCATGTAACTAAGTTTCAGTTTCCTTGTTGTAAAGATAAACATTGGCCCCAAAAATGACCCTTAAGTGAAAGCTCTAAATTTTGAAGCTCTGTGGCCAATATGTGATAAGTGTAGCTTCTTGTCTTGCCT